ATGACACATTAAAGTTAATTTTAATAACCATTTCCAATTTTAAATTAATAGTTGCTTATTAAATGTTGCTGTTCTTCTATTATGATACAGACATATTTATGCTAGCCTTTGAAACAACAAATAATATGTTACACCTCTGAATGATATGTGCAAGGACTTTTGATGGGAAAATTGCTTTATGTCACGCAAGGAGAGTCTTGTTGTCTTTAGCTAAATGTGGCTGAAGTTCAAAGAGAATAAGAGAATTCTTACCTGTATATGGTCAGCCTGAAAACTTTTATAAGAAGTGTCTTTTTTCCTTTCTGTCAAGGTAGGTTTAATATTATTAAATCAGTCAAAGTCCCATACAACAGGTCAAGAATTTTTGCAAATTTTTCTATTGGAAGTTGTGGAATAGTTAAACTAAGAAATATTTGTTGAACATGGAAGCTTTTGTGAATTTCCTTTTTAAAAATATTTTTTTTCCACTTTCCAGCTGTCAGTATTTATTTACATGTGAAGCCAACTTTCAGCTTCCAAATTACAGTTTTGAACAAAACAATTCAAAATAATTTGAGCAAATCCCATCTTTCTCACTTACGCTTCTCTTTCCCCTAATTTTTCACCAGTTCAAAATAATTTTCAAAATCTTGGCCTCTTCTGGTACAGGAGGAGAAAAAAAAATCAGTTGCAAAAATGCTGTTGATCTACACTATATTTTTCTCTTCCACATTCAAGGACATCTCTTGTACTAGCGAATAAGGTATTAGCAGTCAGCTGAATACCAGTCCCACTTCTCAGGAGCTTAGGTGCTCATGTTCTGCTATGGAATAAACATTTCTTTAGTCTTAATGAAGGATTTCTGCAAATTCATCTCCTTCCTTGCAAGACAGTGTTTTCTTGCAGCTTCTTAGAACTGCATTCTGCTAGGGAAAAGTTTGGATGGCTTATGTTGCAGCTATCAAGCCTGTGTATGTGTACTAGAAAAGTACATTATCTTTGCTTCAGGGATCACCACTGCCTGCCTTTATTTATACTCCACTACTGTACCCTCCAGCCCTGTCATTCCAATAGTATTCTTGAAGAGAGCTTGATCCAAAGCACATTACAGAATTGCAAACTCTCTAAAGAGTTTTGTGGCATTGTGGCAAAAATGGTTATAACTTTTGAAATGCTGTGGAAATATTTGCTGGAAGCCAATGAATTTCCTTGTGAAAATGTCACATACAAGTGAAAGTGGATAGAAAATGTGGGAAATAATTCAGATTTTTACAAAAAAAAAAAAAAAAAAAAAAAAAAAAAAAAAAAAAAAAAAAAAAAAAAAAAAAAAAAAAAAAAAAAAAAAGAGAAAAAAAAAAGAGAAAGAAAGTTAAACACCACAATTCCTTAACCTTTTGGGTTTGACCAGCTTTAATCAATTCTTTATGACATCCTCATTAGTCCAGACTTTAATGCCATTATATTGAGTCTTCTATCTGGAGAGGAGCTTTGAAAGGAAACACCATAATATGCAGTGACTTCATGGATCAAATATGCAGGAGTTAGTTTTACAGACTGCTGTCAGTGTTGCATTTATTTATTTGGGACAGTGGTGATAGTGTGTAAGCCATTTTGTTCCAAGAAAACAATGGATTGGGATATTTTTTCTAAATATTAAATTCTGGTTTACTCAGGGCTTTCTCCACCCACTTTAGATGAGGGAGGAAAAAATCTTGGCAAGTGGATGCTCTGAGGGGGCACATGGAGGCGTGTGTAATCATCTTGCCAGTTTAATTAACAGTGCTTTTGACTGATATGTGTTAATGAGGATAATGTACAGTATGGAGGGAAAGAACCCAGTGTGCTATATTAAAGGGACAGGTGCTGGGCGTATTGGAAAGTTCACTAAAAGGAAATAAAGTGTATGAAGTGACTTAGAAAGGGAGGGAGAGGAAATATTTCTGAGAGCACTTGTAAGGGAGTGAATCTGCACCCAGTTCAGAGCCTTCAAAGAGGCTCACAGAGGAAAATGAGGGAGTGGAAAAAATCCATCTGTTGGCCAAGGTTCTGCCTAGGCTAGCCAAGGGAGAGTGGCTCCTGCCTCCCTGTGCCTGGCAGACCTCATCAAGTTTCTCACCTGTGTGCATGCTCCCCTGTGCATCAATGTTTGCAGTGAGTGGGCCTAAAAATGTGTCACACATTTGACATTCTGAGCTGCTTCTTCTGAAATGACACCATTTATAGTTAAGAGCAATCAATGAAAGATTTCCTTCTGCATAAGGGCCTGATCATCTGATGCTGCAAGAGCCTCCTGCAAGGTGCTGAGTGCCCTCAACTCTAAGTGAAATCAATACGATTGGGCACTAGCATTTTTAATTCTTCTTATTTATGGGATATTTTTAAACCCTTTCCTATGCTTTGAAAGTAGAACTTACTTTACAAGATTTATTATCAGCCTGAAAAGAAAGGGAAGAATTCAGTGTGATAAGCATATTTATCTCGAAGATATCCTTGAAGATTGACAGTGGCCTATCAAGGCCTTTCAGCATTTATAAAATTTATATGTTCCTATAGTCTTCAACAAAGCTGGATACAAGTATTTCCAACACAAAATCTTCACTTTCAGGAAACAATGGTACTGGTGGTCCAAGAAGGCTAAGTTCTTAGTGAATATTTCAAGCTGCCATGTGGTGTTATTTATTTCCTTGACCTTATTTATTTTGGAAAAGGACTAGTACAGTGCAGATCTTCAAATATAAAATAATTTTTCTGCCTTTGATATTCACAATTTTCAAGGCTTTATATTTATTTCTGTTTTCAAGTTTTCATTTTTCTACAAGATTTATGCATTTGAAATCAAAATCTATAAATGGGATTTGCAATTAGAGGAAATATTTATAATACTCTTCCTTTGAATACCTTGAAAACTCATTATGTGTGTTCACTGTATTAAACAAAAATCTGATTTTTCTGCACTCATAGTGCATTGAAAATTATCTATATCTGTACATGTATTTATATTATATATATGTATAATATTTATGTATATTTATATGTTCATTTCTGTAATCAAAAGACAGATGATCATCTCCAAGCAGCCTTTTAAGTCTCTTTGAAGAGAAGAAGCAGAAATCTCTTGGAAAATATTTCTGCTTCTACCCAGGGCTGTACCTATATTCTGTGAATACTCTGCCAAGGCTATTAATGACAGAAGAGCTTCACGATCTGAGAATAGGACCAATGGATAATGCAGTGCCTAACCCAAGCAGGAGAAGAAGATATTATTGTAACTTTTCTTAAAAGAAGAAAAAACCCCAAAACCCCTGGAAAAAAAAAACACAACTCCCCATTTTTGTAATGAAAACTCTGTTACATGAAAATTCCTATTTCAATGACAGGGGAAAAACCCTCAGAACAATGGCTTTTGTGCAAATAATCTTAAACTGGCACAATCCAGAAACCTTGAATATTTTGGAAGCTAGTTTCCTGAGTCTTCTGTCTGTGAGAAACAAGGGCTACCCCCAGAGACCAGTGGTTTGACCAGTGTCCTTTCAAAATAACTGCTAAGGAGGGCTAGAAAGAAGATAACACAGCTACATCTTTATTTAGGGGTGATTAATTATAGGGATAGATGTTTGGTTGTTTATCTTTAGAGGTGTCTATGCTTATATGTTTATGTCCACACTTAAAAGCAAACCGTTTGTTTTAGATTTTGACAGTGGCTTCTGAAAGTGAGTAAAAGTACTCCAAAATCAGAATGTGAGAGTATGTTCTATTTTCTATATTTTAACAGTGTCAACATTACAGATTTTCAAAAACTTAATTCCCTTTTCTCCTTTAAAATTGTATTATGTTTCTTCTACTAGAGAGGGGTTAAAATCTAAGACAATGTTGGCATAAGATCAAATGGGTATAAATTGGTTGTAAACACATCTAGGACAGAAAGAGAAGATTTATAACTAATAGAGGACTGAAGTTCTGGAACAGTTTCCAGATACAAGCAATGAAGGGTAAAAAAAAAATCTAATGGGTTTAAACAAAGATCTTGATAAATTTATTCAGAACTATATGACCTAGTTGCCTCCATTAGCCATAAACTGAACCTGATTACACAGGAGTTCCTTTCTGTTTTTGTTTTCCCAAAGAAATTATGCAAGCACCAGTTTTTGTGCTGCAGAAATACAATGCATTACAAAATACCCTAAGTAAATAAAAACCAAAGCAGTCTAGAATCAGCTCTTACCTGTATCTGACATCAATAACCTTTAGATAAAAGACAGAAACTGGTATTATATCTAAGTGCAGACCCCCCAGTTTTGACCTTTTTTACTTTTCTCAAATATGGCAGATTTCGGACATTAATTTTATTCCATCTCTATTCAAAGCAGACATGAGCAAAAACATTGGCTGAATGTACTGTTATTCATTTTAGGGTCAGTATCTCATCCTCCCTGGACAGCTTTACACATAATAAAAGAACTAACATCCAGCAGAGTTGAAAGCCTTCAATAGATCAAGGATCAGGCTCACAGTTTTAGAATCTGTGCCTCAGCAAAGCATCTGTTTAACCCTACATATGCACTTTATTCCAGTTGAAGCATATGCCTAAATATTTATGTTATTGCAGACAGACTTCAGTGCATGCTCAAAGTTAAGATCACATCTAATTGCTCCATCAAATTGAAACACTGCTTAACCTACAGGATGCACAGGCTGTTAATGGATGATGTTATTTGAATAATCATCAATACAATGCTTTCCATTATTTTGATTTATGTATTGAAGCTACTATTATAAGCAAGCATCTCAGAAATACTATGCGAAGTTAACAGTACAATAATTAAGCCAGCCACTTATAAATACAAGGAAAAGAAGAATAAACTAAGAGGAAAAGGAATAAAAAATAGAGACTTTCAGATTAAACATCACTATTATGCTCACTGTAACACGGTAGATATTAAACTATATTAGGTGCCCTGTCTTTTTACCACTTAAAAAAATGAATGAAAAGTAAAGTACAATATTACACACATTGTTCTTACCCATTATTATCTAACGATGTTCCATTCTTCTTAATTCAAGCATTTCTGGTGTTGTGTGCTTATCCCTCCTACTGTCAGTTGTATCCCTGTTAGTATTGTTTTCCTACAGTTTGTTACGGGATTCAACCAAAATTATATCTTCTGCTAGTAGGATCTTTTTTATCTTCTTCTTACCATTCCATTATAAATTTCATTATACTAATTTAAATCCACCTAACATGTTCTCTTCATATTCTAGATAACTGATTTGATTGATTTTATTTATGTGGAAGAACAATTTTGGTTTTGGTTTTTTAGGTTTTTTTTAACTTCCCACATTATTGTAGTCTGAGTCTTTTGTCTCTCGTATGTAGTATCTGATATATATTCTGCAACATTTGTGATCAAGTTTTGAAACAGCAGGTGTCAGATTCTCAGACAGAGTATAATAATCACAATAATTTGAAGAAAAACATTGAGCCTCATGGAACTGGTAATAAAGTCAGAGAACTAAATGTGTCATTTTTCAAGAGATGATGCTATTTACAAATAAATGCTTAATGAACCCAGATCTTGCATTTTTCTTTCACATGAGATTATGCTCTATAGACAATCAGAATAATTTTATTTCTATTGTAACTTTTTCACTTTAACAGCACACAGTCCATCAGCAAATAAAAAAGGTACACATTGCCTTAGAGTTGTAGAAATAAGGTCTCTTAAACACCCATTGTAATAATTTTTACATTTGCTGTGAACATTTTTAATACACAGAAATAATTATCAATAAAAGTACTGTGATGAGAGTTATGGATCAATTATTTGCATATATTTTAATTTTGAAAATGGATTTTGCTGTTGAAGATAACATTAGCGTTTCTGTTAGGGAACAGTTTTATAATTAGGCAAATACTGTACCATAAAATTCTCATCACCATAGCAATGGTTTTTCATGGGGCATAAGTAAGTTGATAACAAAGGCAATACATTTACTACAGAGACTATTGTGGTTGAATAGTGTAAAGTTATAACTTCTAGTAAAGCACCTACTAACGTAAGAAATCATGGCACAGTCACACTACATATTGACATTAAGAGTAATTTTAATGAAAGACATTAATATTTTATATAGCGTCCTCCATACAAAGCATAATAACATCTCAGTGTCTTACAGCACAGTGTCTCATATACTGCATCTCATCTTGAAGGGTCATGAGTGTGCATGTGTATAGGAATCACTTCAACCACTCCTGAAATTCCTTTATTTATTTATATGTAGTGCTCTAATGTTAACCATTTCAGTATCTGAATTACTATGAATCTCTGAAGAGCAGAACAATTTTTTTTAAAAAAAACAGATTGCATCCCTAAACAACATTCAAATTCTGACAGCAAAAAAAGTTAGTCTATCCAACTGAGCTCCAGAACAGAAATTCAGGTTGGTAAAATGCAATTATCCCATTTGAAGTCAGGATTAACACTGGGGATGGTACTGTGGAAATTACTACAAGGCCTTTAATGTAGAAAAATAGCTCAAACTTTTGTATTATTTCTCCTTTTGACATTTGCTATAGCACACTCTATAGGAAACACAACTTTGTTTCTGATTTTAATGTTACCATGCTCTAAGGCACAAACTGGCTGCTTTTTCCCAAATGGTTCTCCCATCTGAGGAGAATATATATGCCTGCTCTGCTGAACTTGTGGTAGCAGAGTCCCTGTAAGGTGAAGACAACACAGAAATAATTGTTTGCTTTGTACAAGTACTCAGAGACTTACGTGGGCTAGAGAGCAAGGAGAGCAATGCCTGTGAACATTTGGGGGTGCCACAAATAAGGACAGAGAGCCTCTCCCACTGATCTCAAATAGACCAGCATCATTAAATACTGGCAACCAGAAATAACAGCAGCTCCAAATCAAGAGTTCCTCTCAAACTTTGTTCCTCTGAGTCCTACCAATAAAGTGAACAAGGCTTAACTGTTCAGGGGAAATATTCATGGGCATATATGCTTAAAAAATGGTTTCAGGCATTGCAAGTAAACAGACATAGCATATTTCTAGAGTTGAGATGTTTAATCTCAGTGGAAACTCAATGCTTCAAAAAGTCCTGCATATAATCATTATAAGACCTGCATTAGTTATTGTCTACACAACAATTAGATTAAATCTCTTGCTGGTGACTGGACTGTATTTGCATTAAAGTTTTCTTCTATTTTCATGAAATACAATCAATGGCATATTTTGGAGAGAGCATAGACTGAGGTTTGCTGTATTGGTAAAATAGACATTTGTGATGATGTCCATTCAAGTTGAATAATACAATTTTTTTTCTAAAATAGCAATGGATTAAATGGAGAACTCTTGAATTAAAATTTGAAAATAAATGGTTCTGAGATTTGATAGAAGAGCCTGATAGCAAGAGCTATCATCTGCTGTTGAAAGTATGCCATCCTTCGTTACCTGACCATGTAATGACATGATGTCTGTTTTGAGACTGAAGTCACTGAGAACTGAGGTTACTTGGTAACAGGCCACTATGAGCTTCCCAGCTTTCAAATCTTCTGACAGCATCTTTTCATCATGCCTTATTTGAAAATTATTTTATATTTATGATTTCACAGAATCCCAGAATATGTGGACAGACTCTAATATATTTTTATCTTTCTTATATTGTGGTACCCAAAACTGCCCCCAGCATTCGAGGTGGGGCCACCCCAGTGCAGGCCAGAGCAGGAAAATCTCCTCCCTGGCCCTGCTGTTGATGCTGGACCTGATGCACCCAGAAAAAATTTGAGCCTCCTGATTGCCAGGGCGCTGCTGACTCATATTCAACTTTCTGTCAACTAGGAGCCTCAGATTTGTGTTGTAGGTGCACAAAAACTTAAAATTATGGAGAATGGTTTTCCTTGAAATGATCCTCAAGGAATTTGTAAGTTACTGTGTTTTAGTTTTGCTTAAGCAAATTTAAATTTTTTATCACATGGGAGGATTTCAGGCATGTGTAGTACCTGTGTTAGTGACACACTTGCAAAATATCATCAAGAAAGGAATGGACTTGTTATGAAAGTAGACAACTGCTTGTGTATTGCATTTTTCTTCTGGTGCTTCTAAATCCCTTATATTTAAATTGAAACAAAGGATTGAGCCAATTTCTCTCATGTTGAGGTTTTGGTACATTGGCAAAAAATATTGGATGCATAAGGGATTCTTGAAGCACAATCCACATAAGGAATCCAGGCATACCATGGCTAATGGATTTTTTAAAAAGAAACACACTAATGTAAATTATCTCAGATAATTCTTTAAGTATTCTATTTAGAAGGCAGGAAATCACACAAGAAATTTTACAGCATACCACATAAGCAGGTTGACATTCTAAAAAAGACATGGTTTGCTTCAGCTCTGTGCCTTTTTATTTTCACATCTTATTACATTATGGTTTGAGATAAAAATCACACCTTGGGCATTTGAATACACTCAGTTTCACCTCCTCCCTCACAGGTGTCCCTTGAGGTACATTGTTATGTTACAGTATCACACTCCTTGTCATATCTTATTGCTTACTTGCAGATTGTGGTAATATTTTGAATACTGACAGAGTGGGCACAGCCTCTGAGCATCAGCACCAGTTTGCACTAATGTAATGTGCCACTGCACCAGTCCTAAAGACAACAAAAGCAAAAAAAAAAAAATCTGCAAAAACATACTGAAGATCTGTAGCCCACTCTAGTATGTATCAATTTATCTATTTTTGGTATCACTGTGAGCAACGTCCTTGTCACCTTAGTGCTACTGCCAAGAAAACAATATGGACTGCATGAGAAACTTTTGGATTCATCAGCTGTTAGGGTTCAGTGCACTCACTGACAGACTCTGAGTCTCAGCCACTCTGCTGTGTGGCTGCTGTGGCTGGAGGAACAGCTGCAGTAGAGGAGGGAGAAGGTGTGATCTACCTCTATGGATATTTCCTGAGCAGAAAAAACCATTTCAGGCAAACCAAAGCTTGAAACAGGTTTCTCTGCAGTGAGTGAGGAGGGAGAGGCAATTTCTGCTTCTTGCTGGGAAGGCCACACTGAAGGGATGCTGTGGTGGAGGTGGTGCTGGGGAACGTTGCCTGTTGTTGGTTAGTAGAATTGAAGAGGTGAGATTTCAGAAGGAAATCAGAGATTTGGGATGTCAAGCAAAGTACAAAAAAAAGAGGAGTTATAAAAATCTCTCCTGTAATTCAGGTACTTTATACCAAATGAAAGAATATAGTGATACAAGCATAAAGGTCAGAACAGTGTAAAAGAGAACTCAAACAAAAAATTTCCTACTGAAGAAATGACAGACACCAATCTTAAAGAGTCCTCATTGGATTTGGGTACAGCAGATGCTGTAACAGTTGAAATGGGCAATATGTAATGTGGAAAGACTGGCAGCAGCATCCTGGGATGTGTCCTTCATGTTGGCCCTCTCCTGTGGACAAAGATCTGATGACTGGGCTCTCAATGGCTCCAACCAGCAAAAACCATCAGATCCAGGATAGCAAATGTAGGAGTATCCTAGGTAAATGTAGCACAGCCTCTGTGACCTGTGTGACAGCCTGGACATACAGTTGCAATTTAAAAGGTGATGAGGATTGCCTCGGTGATTTTAAGGGTCTTTTCAGCCTTCAGAGCATTCTAGGAGCAAGAAGATTGCAGAAGTGCTTAAAATGATATATAGTCATAACCGAGATGGACTTCAAATGTGTAAGTGTTGGCAGCAGAAGGGGAAGTGTGATGGAAAAGATCACTTCAAATGAGCACTTCAGGGACATGAAAAAGCAGCTTCTATGGGACAGGAAAGAGGAAAGAAAGAATTTCAATTAGGAAAAAAAAAAGAGAAAAGTTGTCTGTCAAATCGTAAGAACGTTAATGGGTTTTAGCAGTATTGAAGCAAATCAAGTTTTGAAAATGGGCCAAATTTCTGAGCTGTTCAAACTCTAGGTAAAGTTTCTAATGCAGCTTATAAAAGGTTAGTTGATTGGAGTGACCACATGGCTGGGATATGTGTGATTTTCTTCTTTCGAGCTCTTCAGAAATTGATTTCTACTTTTGATTCTACAATTGCAGTTGTTAGAAAATCCAGCAATGGGGTGAGCTGTCACAGAGAAGGACATAGTCTGGTCCACAGAGCATAGCAGAGATTTAGCTATATAGCTGCCAATTAATG